GATAGATACTCTGCACTCTCAGGTTCAAAAAAAAAAATAGTATCAACATTAAAATATTTAAATAAACTAAATTAGTCCATCTAGTTGTTGATTTGAGGGGCAGTTTTACAGTTTGAAGGTTCTGATCCACCCTCTGAGTGAAACATCAGCCCCACAGCATGATGCTACCACCACCGTGCCTCACCTCGACTCCTCCCATCTGCCTGATACAGGAAATATTTGTAGCATGTTTGTTATAAAGAGGCTGTTTCACCTCCAGACCAACTCAGGTGTTTAAAATATCTGTTGTTTAAAAATAAAAAAAGGAGAAAGGAGCAGAATTTTAGCTGTAATAGCAGAAAAAAAGCTAAAATTAGCTAAAAGTAGCTAAAATTAGCACAAGAACGTGAAAAAAGCAGAACCAGAACAAAATGTGTAAGGTGCTGTAAAGATTTAGAAACATTTTAAAGACATTTAAAGATGTTGTAAACAGCTCCATTCATTTTCAGTGGCTAAAAAAAAGTGAAACAGCTAAAAAAGTAAAATAATCTGAAATACCAACAGTCATAGCAGCTCTCACATGAATGAGCTGAACGGTTTGATATATGAACCGTTGAAATAAAACAAGCTGTGAAGCGTTCACACAATAATACAAAACAACTAATAAAAGTTTAACAGCCTCTATCATAGTTTGATTCAGCACAATATTTCCTTTAAAACAAATTAAAGACGTTTATTCACCTCGTATGAAAAGACGTTTCCTGTCACCTTGTTGGCCACGATGTGAGAGTTATTAGTGAAAACGTTGTACAGAACAGGGCAGTGATACTTTCCTGAAAGAAAAATAAAAAAAGACTCAGAGAACATCTTAACCCTGACGTCCTACAGATGAACACGTTTCCTCTGAACGCATCAAAGCTTTAAAAATAAACTGATTTTTACCTTCGCTGTTTTTGGCCACATTCAGCTTAATGAGGGACTTCGCTTCCAGTTTCTGACAGACAGGAAAATAAAAATTTACTATTTCCTCTGACAGCTTCATTTCACAATGATGACTTTAAAATAATAATCTTGACTCAACACTGAGCTGTTGATTAAACTAAAGTTAAAATGTTTCTTTTTTATATATTTTATTCATTTCAGTAAAAAAATAAAAAAATTCAATACAAAAATAAAATACACAAATCTCATAAAATGAAAGGAAGCAGAAGAAAAAAAATCTTATATCTGCCCCATTTAACAAAATATATTTATATACATAAATGTACAT